TCCTTGGTGTCAGCGAGTACTGTCATGGTTTATCTATGAGGTGGCTGCATCGGAAACCGTCCAGCGAGTCGGCCATGGTCTGTCTCAAGGTGGCTGCATTGGGGAAGCGTCCAGCCAGTCCTGTCACCGTCTGTCTACGAGGTGACTGCATTGGAGAATCGTCCAGCCAGTCCTGTCATGGTCTGTCTACGAGGTGGGTGCTTAGGGGAAGCGTCCAGCGAGTCCTGCCATAGTCTGTCTACGAGGTGGCTGCATTGGGGAAGCGTCCAAGGCATGTGATGTTTCACTGAGATGGAAACTACTTGATGGTAAGCCTGAATGCAAATTGCTGACATAGTTAGGGAAAGTAATCCTATTTTTTCCTGTTTTACAGAACTCGATTATGACGATTCTCGATAGAGCCCCCACTGACAACTGCAAGGAGAAGGCCGCATATATCTACACTTCAGCTACTCCAATCAATCCTTGGTGCTAGCGAGTATTGTTATGGTTTATCTACGAGGTGGTTGCATTGGGGAGCGTCCAGCGAGTCTGACATGGTCTTTCTACGAAATGGGCTGCATTGGGGATGCGTCCAGCGAGTCCTGCTATGGTCTGTTCACGAGGTGGCTGCATTGGGGAAGCGTCCAAGGGATTTGATGTAACACTGAGATGGATACCCCTTATAGGTAAACAGTGTTATTGGGGAGAGAAATAGACTGAATTGTTTTTTCAGTTGCAGTCTTTCCCATAAACTTTTCGCCTTACTGGCCATTCATACCTCAACTTTCCTAAAAACTACAGGTCTGGGTCATTGGCCCGAATACAGATTTTAATAAAACTGGGCTGAATTGCATTATTATTAACAAGACCTTCACAATTTTAGAATTAGGATGCAACAGTTACATTGAAATCAGAGTTTTTTTTATAAAACTTCAGATAATCTTATGGTCAAATAGTCGATTTAAACATTAACATATCTACATGTCCGAACAATAATTAGTATATCGGTCATTGATTACACAGAAAATAATAGACATATTGATACAACAAAGGGTTGGTAGTTCAATAAACAGTCTTAATAATAATTGGAAAGTGTTACCGTTTTAGAGAATAAAAGATGAGAAAGGAGATGAGACCCTGGAGAATCGCAGCGCGGAAACAAAGTGGCTGGACAGCAAGAAGTGAAGTGACCTGATAGTGCTGGGTTTGCCTTAGAAGAGCACAGACGATGACTTGGAAGGCTTACTTCTCAATTTGGTGAAGTCATCGTTGCACAGGTACTCATTGCTACTCATTAAGATCATCGATATGGGTTGCATGAAAAGTTTCTTTAGAGTTAGTCTTTAATTTTTGACCAAAAGGATTTAAAATGGAGCAGTCCGCAGTTACTCCTGGTATCAAATGACTGCAATTTCGTTCTTCTAGTAAAACTAATTGCTATTTTAAGTGAACTGCTTATGTCGCAGACTGCTTTAATTACACAATTTACGGAAATTAAACAAACTAGTCGACAGTTCACTTTACTTTTGTTCGTACCTTAAGTGTTGAAGTTAAGTCAGATTGATAAAAACAAACATCTTATCGTTATTCATTGTTATTCAAAGTAAGTACATTGGGGGAGGAAGGTAAAGGGAAATTTTTGAGAAAACCCTCTGCCACATTAACTTTACAACTCACTTTTACAAGGCAGTGTATCTTTCCCTTGACCCACTTCTGGAATAAAAAATTAAGCTTAGTGGGTTGGGTAGGGAGAAGAGGTAAACAGGGAAACTAATGTCTTCTAAATTTCTGTTTTGAAGTTGAGGCAGATGGCATTGGTGAGCGCCTGGCCTGATGATGGTTCACTTTCATAAGATTAAAATGGAGAAAGCGATATCTGCATATGGGATTTCAAGAGTTCTTGCCTAGTTGTGATGTCATTGAAACTCGGAACCCTTCAAGGCAAGTTATGGGCCAGGGTAGAGAGTGAACAATGGACTTAATTGTAATTATTCTATAGATATTACAAATCTTTTGTCAATGCAAATTCAACAAACTGGACATTTTGTGCAACGCCTAAGACAAAATTGTTTTAAATTACTGTTTGGAAACTGTTGTCTAGCCACTAAATGTAGACATGTTTTCTATTTACAATTTACTCAAGGAAATTCGTATTGCAGACATTTTAGAATCCAAAAGCTCTTTTAACTTGTCACAAACTTGCAAAAAAAGAATATTTTGAGATCCTATCGGCCAACTTTCAGGTCTTCATCAGTTACAATGAGGCACACGTTGTGATGTCACTGGTCTAGAATACTAGGAGCTACTACCCCCAACCTCACCCTCAGTGCTGCGGTTGTGATACTAAGAGACCATAGTACCAGTGAGCATATTTTCATCTGTTTATTGTTCAGATCGTTAGGCGTTTTCGTGATTCATATTTCTTCCTTTATCCCTCTTATTTTCTAGACACTTTCTTTTTGTAGAATTTTAGCACTCTCCTAAATCATAATGTGGTTTTCTTGTGTCATATTATAGAAATATAATAGAATATAACAATCATGTTAAGAACCCAAGTATTATGAAATATCAAAATACTAGATTTAACGGTGTGTAATTACCAGTGACATACATGTTCTTTGTTGCAATTATTGCAAGCTTTCAATTACTTTTAATACATTTGTGTGAACATGTTACATTTCATCTGTAGGCTACGAAAGGGCAGTTTTCAGGAAAGAAATAATGCCCGAACGCAGATACCATCAATCCTAGCCCAAATGTCCAAGATGCGAAACACTTAATGACGCTTGCAACGAGCCCCTGTAGCAACTTTCATTGATTGGACGTCTAAGCAGTCTTGGTTTTTAAGGACACGGCTTGCCTGCAAAAAAATTTTAGAGAATGTGGAATGATAATGAAGAGCGATTAACTGAATGTAAGAGGAATACAATCTAATAATGTACTCGATTCTCTTATATATTGCGAATTTTTGCGCTTCATGGGTCACAGAAATGAGTCGGGTGTAATTGTATTTAGTAAGTTATATTTTTTCACTTATGACAGTGAAAAATTTTTTCCGATAGCTTAAGAGAAAACTTAAGTTCAGTATGATCATTCATAATTCCATAAATGTTCAATTGAATAAGATGAATTTTGGTTCTGTATGAACATTTTAAGTCTGCCTCAACAGTTATTATTAAAATTTAAAATAGAATATCCAGTTGCTTTATCCATTCTAAAGGCAGATAGGTTTTCGCTCGCAAAGCATTGGTATTACCACCACTTATGGTCGTCTGTGTTTTATTTCAATCTAAGCGATGTAGTCATTTTTCATATTTGTGCTTTTGATGATGTGGAGTTTGTCAGTATAGCGTTTGAGAAGATCATAATCCGCACACTTACCTCAACTAACCCTCACATCTTTGTAAAATCCTACTTCATGTAAATGCTTTTACATGAAGAGATTTTACATTGATAGCTTGTGCAAAATCTATAGTGAAATATTTTACGTTTGAGAAAATATTTCATTATATTTTTTGTACACAGCTCCTCGTGAGGGATGGCTGGGTGCACACAGTCATTTCTCAAGATTGAGGATCGCACATTACTAATATTACTAATATTATGATTTTCTCAAGTGTTATAGTTGACAAATATATCCAATTCATCATATGTGCACCTTTTTTCTCGGACCCAAAAATTCATAGTGAAATTTGCATGGACGGTCATACAGTGTAATATGAAATCAAGCTTGATTTATTCTTTACTTGTATCATACACGTGGTTGCGATTTCAGGGCAAAATTACATTTGAGAAACTTCTATTCAGTTTTATGTCAAAGTTTAATTTCAATCATTGATGTGACTGGGTAATAATCATATTACCTGAACTTATATTATATATTTTATCATGAAAGAGAACTATATCCAAGTTTTGATGTATGCTTCCAGTTGTAAAAGGATCGAGTTACTTTATTTATGACTTCATACCCCTAGATGAAGTTAAAATAAGCCTCGGTTTAATTTTGTTTAATTGTGTTAAGACTAGTAAATGTTTTGTCTTCAATACCTCTTTCAGTAGGAATTACATGAACTTTGGTAAATTCTTGTGCTTCATCTTGTGTACCAGTATAGTGTAAAAAAGAGAAAAGTTTGTAGTCACGAGAAAGTTTATTCAGTTGCTGCATGCTGTCTATAACGGGGAAATATTTATGAACTGTAAGGCGCCCTGCCAATAAAAAACTGAAGTTATCACGTTTTAAAGACTGAATTATCTGGGCGTGGGCATTTTCCCGGCATTCCCCACGAAGGGTTTAGACGGGTTTTTCCCCACGGCCTAGTACTACCATTTATTGAGACATTGCGTTTACATGATACATTAATGATTACTAAAGTACTTTTGAAATTGAATGTTACTGTATATAATAGTTGAATAAAACTATATTCTCTCATTTTTCTTTTTGTTAAAAAAACGGAAGGCGTGTACACATGGAAAATGATCAGACTTACAAATTAATTTTAATGTACTTGCGTGCCTATGCACGCGGTTCGTTAATTATCAGTCGAAATTATCTTTTCAATTGCCCCTTCTCACTTGAACTTAATTCAAGATTTGGCGAATTCTGTCACGTAGATTTCTTCCATAGAACTAGGCAATGTCCAGGTAATAAAATTGATTTTTGGTTTTGGAAATAAAACTGCGAGTTGCGTGACTTTTTCTCCGGGCATAACTAGAGCCGATACCTAGACTATCCCGAGTCGGATCAGCCCCTAGAATCAACTAGCCTACATAAATATATCCCGCTGTAGATGTAAGAACCCAGCACCTCTTGATGTTTGACGTACATTATATATCGGGCCGGAACCAGGATTTCCTAGAGGGTTTTTTTTATACCGTTTCCCCCACCCCCCGAAAAAAGCACAATTCAGTGTATATACAAGCAACAATTTGTTACATTGTTTAAATAATCAGGATAGTGGAAGAGACATAAAAGCCACAAATAGCACATTTTAGGGATAAATAACACAAGAAAATGTGCATCAAGTATATCTAACATCACTCTATTTCTAGAACAAGATTCGATCTCTACATTATACACCGAATTGATTTTGTGAGAAACAAAAACTGCTAATTTCAACGGTTCTGCCAGCAGAACAGTGTAAGAGTCAAATTTCTATCAAAAGACATAAGTATGAAACCCTCATCTTTCAAACTGATAAAAGTCCATTGTATCCTTTATAAATATTGATATTTTAAAATGTAAAAGACTAGACTAAGACCAACAAAATCAAATCCAGTAGTATTATAAAGAACATACAGTGCATTAAAAAAACAGATACTATAGAGGTGCTACTTAGATCTCATAAGTTTTACTATAAATAAAATTTAGCGAGGTTTAAATCTTGTGCGCATTCATCACAGCCTGTGAAAGAAGCTTTTAACTGGACAGGTTGTTCAAATTTTCTTAGACTGGGACAAAATTTGTGTTAAATCCAGTATCTTGCCCTGTGGTTACTGGGAGGCTTAACACCTCTCTTTTCAAGTGTTTTACTATTGCCATTAAAAACCCACGTTCAATGACAGTTGTATCTATATGTCCTTATATCTGTTTTAAAATTATCTTGGAATCTGGGAATCTGGGAATCTTGGAATCGAGGATGGGTTGACTTCTCCAGACTTCTGGCTCACTTGATGTGGACAGAACATCCACCATTGTATGCCTCTTTCCCTGAAGTCCACGGCTTGTCAAATGTCCCACCTCACTAAACAAGTGGGACACAGTTGTGTTAGTGTTTAACTAACTCAGCATTACTTCTACTAGGTGCGGCAATCTTCTCTCCTGATGCAAAGTCTTCCTATGCTCATAAAGGCAAATACAAATTATTATAATCAAACTGTCTTCTAAGCAATTAATATATATTTATATATAATTCATATACACAAAATAAAAACTGATGAAATTTAAAAAAAAATAAATTACCAATTATCAATCTTGAATGCACCATCCCAATCAACAGAATGACTACAAATAGTGGCAAAAGTGAATGTGTAGAATTGGTCCTAGATCTTTTCCTCTAAACCACCTAATCCTTGAAAACAATTTGGTTTAGAAACATGATATACTTACAGGATCGTAGATCACTTTGATTATCAGAGAACAACTTGGGCATGTTGCAACATCTTCGCCATCCTCTAACTCTTCCTATAATAAGAAATTACTATGTAATTTAAGTTTACTGGGTTAAAGATGGCCGAACAAAATCAGCAACCATGAGGTTTTAGAAAATAACAGGTATTAAGGACATCGGCCTGGAAATATAGAAAAGCTGATGGAGGTATCTGGGTCACACTTTGAGAAGAGAGTAGGACAGTATCCCAAGACGGGTAGTAAAATNTTTGTCAAATCGTGAGCCATCTGGCATTATGTTTGAAAAATAATGGCGTTGCATACGTAGCTTTAAGCCTTAGTTCATAGGGCTTACTTTGAAACCGGTTTTGTTACTCTAACCCATTCCTAGTTGGCTCTACAAGGCCAAAAGTGTCTAACGGGGCCAACTAACCCCGGTCTCCCCTAAAGCGGAGTGGTCATTTTTAGCTGGAGGTGAACGGAGAGAAGACATGGACTCGGAGAAAAAAGCAGTTTTTCAAACAACAACACTTTTCTTCTTTACGCATTTTGGGCAGAGAATACTTGTAGAAATAATAGGCACATGATATGAAAACGTGACACGGAACTTGAAGGTGCAAAATTGTGGTTAATTTGCAGACAACTTGTTTTGAAATACATGCTGCATCGACCGTCACTTCCGTCACTACCACTACACGTCACTTCCGGCACAATTCTGACCAATGCTGATCTTCTCCGGTACCCTTTATTGTCAGCTCATACTGTATACAAACAAACCATTGAGTACAAGAGGGTAACATTATTCAAACGTCTCCGCACTCCGTAGCATAACCTGGCTCTTGGCCCCTTTTACTACAGGGGATAGACTGGAAATGATAACACCAACGAAATAACGAACGTGTATTGTGATCTTGGTTTACAAACAATGTATTTCGGAAAAAATAGTTTTTCATTGTCCCCTGTATAATGATGATAAAATAGTAAATTGTTTCTTAAGAGGCAAATGTGTTAACTAAAAACCTTGTATAATGATGATAAAATAGTAAATTGTTTCTTAAGAGGCAAATGTGTTAACTACCCATGTGTATGCCATTTATATCCTCTATACAAACTCACATCATTAAGGTCTCAAAAAAACTTTTTGCACATCCCTTGACATCGCAACACCATGCCTCATACGTAAATAAGCCTTTTTATAACGATTTCAGTGTACTTCAAATTCGATCATGGTTCTCCGTGAATTTTGCCACAACTTGTTCAAAATGTTCTTTTATGACCTTGATTACATTAGATGTTGCCACAATATGTTTCAAAATTTGATTATCAACTGAATCGGGGCTGCTGTAGTCGGCAAAAAGGCCATCCAAGAAACTACACAAAGCTGAATTCAGACCCTCATTTTTGTAGTGAACGCCGCATAGGCATTTTAAAAGCTATTGAATCAAAGCGCATTTGTCATAGGCAATATTTTGTACCACAATCAAGTTTCAGTATATTATAACGAACAGTTTTTGAAAAAATAAAAATTTAAATAACTAATACATATACACAGTATGGATAATACATGTTTCTAACAAGAATGTTTCTTTTTGGAAAATCGTCTATAGAATGCATATTCTTTAAATAGACGCCCAAGATATTTCATAAGAAAAAAAAGGGAAAGATCAGCTCGGTGGTCATCCTGATCATTAAAACCTAGATTTCATTTGCCATGGGCGCCGTGCGAAAAAATCAGGTACGTTTTTCGGTGCGATTTTTTTTTTGACATCGTAAGTGGCTACAAACGGGCCACGGCGATACATTGCATGGGGGTGCCGTGCCATATCTCCGACGTGAACCTGCAGGCCTTGAAGTCACGTAAGGAAAAATCGGTTGCCGGTTGAAAAGTGATCGCGCGGAGCCTTTGCAGTCGCAGTGTAGTTGCCGCACGCATTCTCATCTGTGCAGCTTCCTTAAAGATCGATACGTTGTCGTATAGTTCCCTTCGATTTAAAGCATCCATGGGGTCAGAGTAAAGCCTCGGTCACAACCAGACGCAGGAATTTTAGGACCGTACGTCCCCTACGAATTTTGAGTGCAGTGGAGGTCGTGGAGTTCGTGGAGGTAGAGGAAAGGTTTCAATAGAAAGGCACAAGCCTGCCTTACGAGTTGCAGGGACCACCTGAGATGTCCTTTCAAGCAGGGACGCTAATGGCAAGGAGCGATGGCCGTGGAAATTGTACTCATTTCTTAAACTCAAGAACTCTTGCTTCCTGCGCACGTGGCACGCACTCACCACTTACGGCGAAAGTAGTGCCCTTTTCCGTCAGTTTTGCTTCACATTTGCCTGACACTGTTGTGATGACGCACTGACGACGTACATGTACGTCAGTTTTGCCTCCTGTTCTCCCCTTCTTTCTTCTTCCTCCCCTCTTTTTCTGCTATATAAGCTTCTTTCTCTTGCCTTTTGGAGGCATATTAGAAGCTAAATTGAGCAAAAGTTTGAAAATTTTGAAAATTGTTGTACACGTTACATAATCGACGTGACCGAGGCTTAAAGGACAATAGACCCACAAAAAATCCATTTCTCGAATTTTGAATATTCAGCACTCAATCTATACACTAGAGGTATGTTTTAATCGATCCCCGCCATTAAAAATTTATAAAAACAATCTATTAGTAGAAAAAAAAAAAGCGTTTAGTAAACCTCACCTCAATATGCATAAATGAAGCAACAGATCTGGGTCACGTGGTACTGTGACGACAATGAGGATAAAGGTCTATGAGACTTAACTGAGCTGCATGGTCCATACAGACAATAGTTTAAGAAAGTTGTGTTGAACGGAGTTGAGCAATTTTCATTATGCCTCAGTGTGTTGCCGTGGGATTCACAAAAATTGCAGCACAGCTTGACAATCTTTCTTTGTCTGTGACGGTCTTCCGTGACTTACTAACTTCGGTGACACATGGACATAATGAGAGAAGGACGAGAAACGCGGAGCAAGATCAAAGGATAAGCATTCAAAATTGTACAATTGTAGTGTAGTATACTTGTTTTCAGCTATGATCCGATTGGAAAATATTTTTAGTGTCAAACTTTTCTCTCTATGTGAGAAATTAGCCAGAGACGCGGCAATAATGAAACCTTCAATCGTGTCTTGAATTAAAATGACGCAATTCCTCTCCGATATATTCAACTCGCTGACATCGTTTTAGGTCTGGTATTTTTTACGTACGGTTTAGATAAAGGTGGCATTTACACTGCTGTGTACTATATGAATAGGTTTATGTAACTTGCTTAAGTGAGCCCGAATTATGTAATGATAATTAATATTTTTAACATTCAATATGGGCTCTCGTTGCAATAGAGCACCACACACGTATTCGTTACGCAAAAAATCGCACCTGTGGGTTTTTTAATATTCTTTTATCAAAGTTGATATTAACACTGCTCTGAAGTATATATATATATTTACACATTACCGGCTACGATCTGCTCCAGTCTGAGAACGATAATTATTATTTTTTTAACTTTCAATATGGGCTCTCATTGCAATATGGCACCACACACGCATTCGTTACGCACAAAAACGCACCTGTGGGCCTTTTAATATTCTTTTATCAAAGTTGACATTAAAACTGCTCTGAAGTATATATATATATATTTACACATTACCGGCTACGATCTGCCCCAGTCTGAGAATGATAATTATTTTTTTTTTAACTTTCAATATGGGCTCTCATTGCAATATGGCACTACACACGTACTTAGTATTCGTTAGGCACAAAAACGCACTTGTGGGCCTTTTAATATTCTTTTATCAAAGTTGATATTAACACTGCTCTGAAGTATATATATATATATATTTACACATTACCGGCTACGGTCTGCTCCACTTTGAGAATGATAATTAATAGATTTTCATCTTTAAATTGGAGTCCCTAAACAGCATAGAGACGATTGACAAACACCCTCATTGGTCTTTTAATTCAAGTATAAATGTGAACATGTACACATGCAAACTTCAATTTTGCTCAATTCAGTTTCTAATATGCTTCCAAAAGGCAAGAGAAAGAAGCTTACATAGTAGAAAAAAGGGAGGAGGAAGAAGAAAAAAAGAGAAAAACAGGAAGCAAAACTGACGTATGCCGTCAGTACGTCACCACAAACGTGTGGGAAAGTGTGAAGCAAAACTGACGTAAGGTAGAGGACACTATTTACGCTGTGCGTTGCATTCCCTTCATAAGTGGTGAGTGTGTGCCACGTACACAGGAAGCAAGACAAACTCAAGAAATGAGTACAATTTCCACGGTCATCGCTCTTTGCAATTTGCGTCCCTGTTTGAAAGGACATCTCATGTGGCCCTTGCGACTCGCAAGGCAAATTTTCCTCTAACTCTACGACTTCCACGGCCTCCCGCAACACCCAAAAATCGCAGGGGACTACGATCCTGAAATTCGTGCGTCCGGTTGTGACCGAGGCATAAGTGAATTACACTAAGTTTTAAACATCTCTACGATTGTTATGCCTCCTAAAACCATCAACCATGATCATGATCACAGCAGGCTCACTGACCAATGCCATTTACGATAATGCTACTTACTACTTGCTTACGAATTTAATTTTTTTAAATGCTTTTAGCTTGACAAGTCTGTAGGCTACGGAGACGGCGAAGCCGTAGAATCCGTGCGATTCTTTACGATTTGGCACGCCTGCCTCCGCACAGACACCATGCGAAAAGGGATTTGCGGGTAGTATATGACCACCGTAAGTGTGTGCGGCAACATAAGGCAAATGTAATCTAGGCTTAAAGTAAGAATGACATCTTCATGGACGTAGTTGTACACTTATTTAACGTTCAATTACAACCCCAGCTAACTGCCCACGGTCTCTTCATTTCTTGTAAATCGATTGAAATAGGATACTTTCGGGTTTGGGGTAAATCTAGTCCCACCGGGACTTTTATTTTGCCATTATGGCCTTTTTAAAACTAACAGTGTCCAGGAGAATTAGTATAAACTAACGGAAAGAATAAATAGAATTGCTGGGAAGGCAGGTGGACAACTGGATTTGTATATCCCTGAAGTCAAAACCTTG